AAAAAAAAGAAAAATCATATCAGTCTAATCAAAGGAACTTTGCTACATCAAGCACACTGAATAAGGCTCTTGAGAGATAACTTATTCTTTCTCTAATCTTTTCAGGAAATCATTATGAAAAACTAAAATTCAACAATCTTTAACTATTTCTGCCTAAATATCTCAAGTATTCCATTAGAAAACTTGCCCAATTTTCAAGCAAACCACTACATTAATGAATATCTAAAACAACCAAAATACACAGTTATCCAAAAACTTTTACTAAGGAAAAAATGTGAAAACCAAAATCTTCCTTTTTTTTCTTGTCTTTAGATCTCTTCTTAATTGATACCCCTCTACAGATAGGCCAGAATTTTATGACACCTGTAAATTGAATATGTTGAAACTATAACTGTTAATAATGCAGCCATTAACACAATATTTGTGTATCTTATTAAGTAAAGAAAACCGTAGGGCATGTTCTTTTGAGTGTTGTTAGTAATTTGTGTTTATAATTTGTTGTAGCTATTAACTCGGGAGAGTAGAGAAGGGTGGGGGATGGGGGAGCAGAGTGTTGAATCTTGCCTTATTAAGCAATGAACAAGCCATTTTTCTTTAATTACAATCTAACTTTGCATTAATATAGGCAATTGAAATTTTAAATTAAAGATAGCCTTCATTAGAAAAAAGTTACTCTGAGGATATTGAATCATTACATTAAAGATAAAATTTTAAAGTATATGTTTAGTAAATGATTTTGTAGCACGAAGAATCAAGAACATTTGCACAGGGATCTGATTTCTTATACACTATCATATTAATTATTGTCTTATTAAACTGATATGTTATAATCCTGAACCAAATTCTGCCTTCTCACTCAGAAATCTCAACAACTAAATGGTAGCCCTCAGGTTTGCTTTCCCATTCTGTCTGTAAATGTCTAATTTACTTGGTATTTTTTAGGTACAGACAGCAGTAGGTCTTCTACTTCTAAAATATTCTGAGGAGCCAAAGGCACCCTTTGTCTTGTTGAAACGGATGTAGGGAAAATTTGTAAGAGTGGACCAAAAGATTACTGGTTATTGTTTTTGGTAGCAAACTTGGCTCAGCTGTGTTTATGGGGACTGTGGTGTAACGCAAAGGATTATTGTCCAGTGAACAGAACTATTCCGCATCTATTTGTAAATTTATTTAGCATTCCTGATATCTATCCTCTTCTCATTTATCTATCAACCATCTATCATTTGATTATTTGAATTTTCTTTTGAACCACTGTAACATCTTATCGGGTTTCTTATTATTTAACTGGTAGTTAAATAATTTTTTGATGCATGTATATTATATATTTGTATGATAATCATGATTTTGCCCTCTTTTAAAAAATTATCTTTTAACATTGATTTAGATGCTGATGTCTCAACTTAATGGCTGGACCACCCTTTTATTTCTAGAATTTCAGTCAACCCCTGAAGTCTGTGCTTCTTATGCCTTTTAGAATGGCAAGATCTATGGTCTGTTTCTTAGTTTCCAAGCAGAGATAAAGAATGCAGATAAAGCTGCATCTCAGCTCCAGATTTCTTTCCCTTTCTCTTGAGATATGCATGTAAATATCAAAAATATTTTGCTCTCAGGCTATTAGAGTCAGTTTTACACATCAAGCTGTTTCTTAAGGGAAATGCCACTTTAAGGGATTTTTTTTCTTCTTTAAGCATAATAGATGCTAAAGATGTTTTTCACTCTTTTGTTAAAAAAATCAATTTTGCCGCGTGTATGTGTGAGTGTGTGTGTGTATGTGTGTGTGTGTATAATAGCAAGCTAGAAAAAGTAAGAAAAGTAAAACCAGCAGGGTAAAAATAAACAAGTAAAATACCCCTATAAATAAACCCATGCAAATAATCTATTTTTATGCTTCTTCTGAGCTTCTTATTTTCCATACATTTTACTTCTGAGCTTCTTATTTTCCATATATTTTACTTTACAATAGAGTTTATTAATTCAACCAATATTACTTGATTCTATTCTATGACATACTAGGAATTGGATTAAATATTGGGGTTAAAAAGAGTTGTCATGAATATAGACAGGGTCCCTGCTCTGAGAACCCATTACTTCTATTTCTGTTAGTTTATTCTACCTAGGAAAGATGTTAAATTAGCCAATCAAATTGATTGTAAAACAACAACAAGACACTT